GTGTCCTCACACCAATGTCTCGGATACTCTGAACTGTTCCCTGTCGTAAAAGTCGACTTTTCTTCACCCTATCAAGCCCTTCGCACTGTAATGAAATCGGCCTGGAGGGTATAATGAGTGCGCAGAAGCATTCCACCCCTGTGAATGCTGAATTATTCTCAATTTCCGTTAAAACTCCATCTTTGCTCCCCATAGTTGCTTGTTAGCTGAAGAAAAGCCGCAGACAGGGTTAATAATACCTCGTGGTATGACCGATCTGTGTATTCACTTCAGTCTGTGTCCACTACTCTGCAAATTCAACATAGCGATGTGGAACAAACTGGAGCTAAACGTAATTCGAGATATGGAATTTGTTTAAAACTTTAACAGGAAAAGAGGTAGGTAGTGTTTCAGTTATTTTTTCAAGACGCAACTCTTCCCAATCCTATAAGAGTTCACTGATACCTTGAACTATCGGAGGAGATAGTTTGCGGTTGCCTTATCACTCTTGGAATGCAAGTCCTCATAACTCAGTTTAGCCGGCAATTTAGAAGTGTTTGAAGAGTAAAACTTGTTAGGGATTGTTTCTTTTACTAATCTCCAGAGATCAGACCAGCAGACATAATCACCTTACTGAAACCTTCCCTCTATATGGAAAGGATGAACCCTCGCTTCAGCGACATACCACAACCGCTAAAGATTGGTCGCATTTGGAGGCCTGAGGTACCTCAAAAACTTCACTTTGGGGCTCAGATACCATCGGAAGGTGATATGGCAGTTATTTGATGATAATGGTATCTGAATAGTGAATCCGGAAATCGGAAGAAGTGTCAGAATTCATGGATTCTTCCACGCATAAGGGTTTGTCAATTTGGGCTACCTGCTGATTAAGGGCATTAGAAGGCATTTTCCCCAATCGACACGGTAGTGACTCTCTTTGAATGCCTTCCATACCTCATGTCGTTGGTGCTCATTTCTCTTGAGAGTAAAATGGGCCTACTGAGTCATGCCCCAACCCCACGAAACTCTCCTAATAAAGTTCAAGTTTAGACACTTAACCGTCGTAGCGTTTGAGCCATCGGCAGAAGCCTGCCACATCTCATGAAAGCTTTTCGGATGGATCTATTCAAGTAGGAAATGATCGGCTTTCTTGAAATTCCTCGCTTCGGCTTTTCTGAAAAAACCCCATTATACTCGTTTTAAAGTTAGTGGTATTGGTCAGGTTAATATAAAACTAAGTTAGGAGGATTAAAATCTTAAAGAAGAAAAGAAAGCACTGCAAAATCACTTTAATGAAAAATGAATTCTGATTGATTTCGTTAAAGCAAGTAACACAGCTCTCACGGATAGTCATTTGATAAAAGATTTAAAATGAAGTAGCTCTAAAAAGTCATTTCTTATAGTTATTGTTTATTCCCAAATTGTTGTCATTTTAAAGTTGGTCGGCTGTCTACCTGATTCACTCTCGCCTATTTTTAAATGGAAGGCCATCGACAACGCATAATTTGGTATGTTTTCGGTAAACTAAGTAGCACGTTCTAGTAGGCACTTTCACTTCATTCAAGTCTAGTCTTGCTTTATCATTGGCTCATGGGTTGTGAATCGCTAATGACTCAGCCAACAAGAGTAGGTGCCTTCCTCTTTTGACGTTTTGTTATGTTATCTAGGCTGTCCTTTCTGTGCTTAAAGCCCTTTTTGCTTTGAGGCTACGGCAAAGGTGGAATGAGGAGAGTACAATAGAGCTAGCGTAATAATGGAGCCGCGTCGACTAAAGTGGATAACTTTTGGTCACGGTTTAATAATCAATGTGGGCTTGAATTATTGTATTTAAAAAAGACAAAGATTTTAAAGGCTTAGGTAATATCCAGATAGGTCCACTCTCGGCTATCAAGTGACGCCTAATTCGTAGATGACACTTGTTCCCCCATCTCTGACTATTCCAATGTAGAGCAGGTACCTGCAGCAGAGTGGACGGGAGGGGAAGGAACAGAGGGGGATATGAACAGATCCATCTTCTGTCAGTTTAAGTCAGTCTGACAAGCGCACAGACGGTCTCTCACTCTCTCCCTAATTGCATACCCGATTAATGTGCATACATTTGGTGTAAGGGAGGAGCGAGAGGGGGAAGGAGGGTTGAAAAATCCCTTTCTAACACCTTTTTAGGAGGGGAATAAGGGGGATCTTAAGTCAGCTACTTCAAAAAGGTCAGCACCTGCTTGAATCCTGGTCTCAACCAATTTTCAGCTATTACATGCACACCATTAACTGACTCCTGTTGAACACATCCGCGCACACGTTGGCATGCGACCCGCTGCATCGCCTCATTATCTCCGTTTGAACGGCCTCAGTTTATTCCTCGGTGTTGTTGTGTTTTTCATTAGGTAGGGGAGAGGACCGGCTCTTTAGTGGCAGATTGGGAACCTCCCGAGGTACACTGCTGTTAAATGTCAGATGGGAAAGCAAATTCAAAATTTGTTAATATAGGTCCATTCTTATTTGAGATTTGGGAAGGAACGGGTGACTTTTAATCAACTAAGTACAAGTGATAAGCATAACAACTAGATTTTAAAAATATTTAAAATATTGGTAAAACAATCAAAACCAATTAGAAATTATGCGAATTGGGACGAGTGTTTTTATAAGTATTTACCAGTACGAGTGATTTGTCCCATTTAAGAGCACATCTCAACAGCAAAGGACAAACTCGGTAATAGATAAACAAGCGCTGGTCTTAGACATTCATCAGCCACTATCCTTCAAAGGCCTAGTTTAATCACCTTTATTGGTATAAGAGCATCTTATCGGTCATTTTAACATATTACAATTTTGGAGACTTAATATGTCTCTGCTGGAAATGTATCTTGACTAGCTGTGAACAGTGAGCCTATGATTTAAACACACCCTTTTAAATATCTTGTCATTTGCTTTTTGGATAACAAATTAGTGGAATTGAATCAGCAAAGTCCCACAAAAACCGTAAATGACCAAGTCCTGTTCAATCAGCAGTACAACTTCGTTACGCAGTAGTCATGATGAACAACCCTGGCAGGAGGCACGCCACTATCTTTAATTTAAGGGGCCCTTCTACCCCATCCATTTGAAATCTTGACTTGGCTGTTTTGGATAACCAGTCATTTTCTAAGTAGAAACGCTCCACCCGTATCTGTTTGTTGATCAATTTAATTGAGGCAGAGGCATGAAACTCTTAAATGCCTCTTTTTAAGTAGTTTATTGGATCTTCAGCACCATGTTAATAACGGTAGGTTTATTATGGTGATAGCGAAAGGGGAGCAAATCCACATCTTAAGTTTAAAGTTCCTCCGGTAAATATCGCTCTTGAGGACCGACAGCCCATGAAAATGCCAGAAATAATAAGCAATCTAGTTCTTCAAAAACGCGATGAATGGTACCTAAAAATTACTATAGAGAGAAGTACTTTATCTTCTCCAAGTACCTTAACACGCTTGCTACCAGAATGTCAGAGGAATCCCGATCACCACGGCTCACAAAAGATATGTTCTCTTCAAAAATTATTCAGACATGTAAATGTTATCAGACCAACCCGTATCTATTTCCTTAATGTTGCATCACCACTTTGAGTATGAAGAAAAAAATAGTTATGCTTTTACTAATAGCCAAAGAATGACCATAAATTACTGTCTTTTTTAAATTTAACGTCAGCGCGAATTTGACCGAGGCTGCTGCTGTTACCTCGAGGAATAGTGATTATTGACTCTGTTATAGCAAATGGCAATTAAACCAGATAAGCAACAACATCGCATCCATTAAAATTGCCTTTTATCTCCTTGTTTATTTAATTATTAATTAAGAAGCGAAAAGCTGTGCTTTCTATAGGTCAAACATGAGAAAGTAATTAATAACTTCTAAAAAAGAACTTATTCTTCCAAAAAGTGGAGCAAAGTAGTTAAAGGTATTTACCTAAAATATACTTTATAAGCACATTTTGGTAAAATCGGTCATGCTTTTCACAACAGCTTGTTCGCACCGTGCCAAGTTAAGCCTTGGCAAGAGGCTGAAAGCTTGAAGAGGGATTGGTTGATGGAGTGGTAAATTTAACCTATCAGGAGAAAAATGATGACAGGGGAGAAGCATATCATTGGCCCGTGTTAACTCGCAAAGTGACACTTCCGACCAATTACAGTGCTGCTTAGACCGCGCTATCGGAGTTATTTAAACAGAGGCTTATTAACGCGTTTTGCATTAGTGAAGCATTACGATGGCCCTTAGGCCGAGTACACACACTACACCCTTCGCGATTGACAGCATTCTCAATGGCAGTCTAGGACGAAAGAGACTCAGTGAAGAGTTGTCAACAGGGAAGGTGTCTGTGGATTCTGCTTGTAGTCCAATCAAATTCACCCCGGAGTCGGACGAAGGCCTCTCCACCAATACCACCTCTTCAGTTTCTATCAACATCTCTCCCACACAATCAGGTGACTGCAACACTTCCGCAATTTATCGTCTGAATTCTTACATTTGTACACCTAATGTATTGCAAAATTTAGGGATTTCAGACATGAGATATTGACAAGGCAGTAGACATTAACTAAAGTTGATTCGGAGAGACTTCATAAAGAGGCAAATTTCCGTTTGACATCAGAGAACTCGCCATTCAGCTTGGTTAAAATTCCTTGAATCAGGAACAAAATTTCGTAAATAACTGGACTACAATTTCCACATTAAATTTAATATTATCGGTAATTCTCAAAAGAATTTTATAAAGATTAAACGCTTTAATAAAGGTATTTCTTAAATGGGTTATTTTAATGACACTTCTGTTGGCTCCTTTTTGCAAACCTGATCTTCTCTTGTTCTAAGTGTTTTCCTTTACGCTGCCTCTCGAAAGTGGCATCGCAAACGCAAAGGCAGTAATCAGTTACAGCTCTCAAAATACAAAAAACAGATTTTAATTGATTTTAAATTAGTTCACTATGTGATAGTAGATATATTTCATATTCCTTTAGCAGATGTTCCAGTGTCTCTACCAAAAACACCGACACTGCCGCCGCCATTTCAAACCTTCCCCTACAGACTCAGTACAAATCCCTTTGAATTTCGCAGAAGCAGCCTCTACAATTACTTCTCCGTCCCTCCACACAATTCCTCCACTACAAACGCGTCACACTCATTGGACAATGGCACTGAAGGTGACGATGAGGATGACAGTGGAGAAATCTTTCCTTCCACGTCTTTCCAGTTCCGCACTTCGGAACTGCGTCGTCGCCGCACCTCCACACCTTCTATCGCCTCACTTTCCGGGGTCGTAGACGCCGGTCGCAGGAAACGCGCTCGTGTTTCCTTCTCCTCTAGCCAGGTCCACGTCTTAGAAGAGCGATTTGATCGACAAAAGTACCTCAGCAGTGCTGAACGCGCCGAGATGTCACGAGACCTGGGGCTCTCTGAAACCCAGGTATGTCACAGCCGATGTCATTAAACATGGGAAGGGGTGAGAGTAGTTGGAGCGTCACGAAGTGCCAAATTGGGCGCTTGTCAAGCTGCGCCTTTATAACTGTTGAGTGCATCATCACCCATAAAAAATTGGGAGAGAGGGGGGCGGGAGCGGGTCAAAAGGGTCATCACGGCTCATGCATTAGTAAGATCGTAAAAGGCATGCCTCTAATTATGACCCCCACCACTAGGTGAAAATATGGTTCCAGAATCGGCGCTATAAGACCAAGAAGCGAGCTTTACAAGAGGCGATTGAGCTGCAGCGCTGTGATACTACGATGGAGGGCGTGACAAGTTTGTACCATCTTGCGTCAACAGCTGCATCATCTGCCGCAGAGGCTCCAGAGACCCAGAGATCTTTCCCACTGCCTCTTAGCCTATCAATGTCCCCCAATGAGGCGATTCAAGAGAGAATTGTGCAGATTATCAGCGAATATGGTCCCATACTTCCCTCCCCATGGAGGCATAGGAACAATGGAGAACGAGATGAGAATGACGTGGCTAAAACACGCTGCTATCGGTAAAGTGAGCGTTTATTTTAGTGCCTTTTTTCTTGTATTACCAATAAAACCTAAACACTATAAAGCGCGCTGTTTAATTACTGCAAAATAATGGTAAATAAATAAACAGACCGATTGATTCAGGACTTATCCTTAATGGCATATCTGCGTGACGCACAGCCTGGATTGGCTTATGACAACCGGTTTTTCCTGTTAAGTTGCAAAAGAATCTTTTGAGGCGAATCACTCCCAGTCCGAGGATAATTAGGATAGTTTTGGTTTTGGGGTATTGTGGCTTTAAATCCAATACATCTTTTGTGGGACACTAATGATTGTTTCCTTTTATTACTCACCACATTAAGTTGGCTTATGAACTTCTGGAGATGTTTTAAAGTTTTGGAACTTTGGAATAAAACCTTGAAAATGACTTTGTTTTGCAAGCATTTTCAGCATTTCAGTAATTGTTCTCATTCACACGCTTCAAAGTTTAATTGGGCAAAGACGAGTGAATTCACATGAAGCTGTCAAGGGCACCAAACTACCTGCTGCTCGGCACCTTGTTAAGAACATTTCTGGGAATCCAAAGGCAGGATGGCTTGTCAATCGTGAGGACCTGTTGATAATGAGCTTGTAAATACCACATCTGTCAGGTGTCAACTAAAACGCTTTAATTCTCATCTCATCCTCCTTCATCAACGCCTGGCAGTAGCCACTCTCATGTGTGTGTGCATGAGGCGCCATTTTGTCTCTAAGGAAAGGTTAATTACTTTGCGCATGAAAGTTTCCTCCAAAAATTGGCTAAAAAAGGTAGTGGGGCTTATCACCCGTCTTCTAATCCTCTTTTGATTTTCCAGTTACTTCACTTTCAATCTTTACTTAAAAACTCGAGATTTATGGTTATGGAATCTTCTAATTCCACGATGTAGAGGTTGTAAATCAAGAGGAATTCACAGATCCCGCATCAAGAATTTGTGGCGCTAAATCTGCCATTTCATGTGGTTATCTAAGATTTAATATAAATGCTAATGCCTTACATTTTGTAATTATCTTAACTTCTGTGATGCTTAAGATTAGCAGCCTGTTCATAAGTTGAAAGCCGTATACCGGGGAACCTTTACCAATTGATCACCTCAAAGTCTTCTCCGCTTTGACGGTTAGAGGTAAAGAGCAGTTGGTTCGTGACTTAATTTCTAGCTGAAGAATGTGCGCCTCTAAAAGCGATTTTAGCTGCAATCTGAAATACGAAGATACGTGGTTCCAAGACTGAAAATGCTTGTTCAACACCTAAAAACAGGCAGCGCTTGAGCAAGAGAAAGATTACTGCTTCACAGAGTCAACAAAAACCACGACCCTAATGCTGAAGTCTTAAAGCGAATTCAGCACTTACACCCACGAAGAAAGGTTTTCGGCGACCATTTTTTTCCACACTCCTGGCAATCATCTCATTTTAGCTTAACGATTCTTGACGAGCCTTCTAAACATTGTTGAAACCTGTCCTGCGCCCCTCTAAATGCTCAACAAATCTTAAACCATTAGCTATTTAAGCATACCAAATCGGGTAATAGGACTCTCAATCGTAGTTTTATGGAATTAATACGAGTCTTGAATCTTCAAGGCATTGGATCTGAGGAGCGAAAGTTCTTAATTTTATCCTCTGCTTTTGCCCTTTAATCACGGTTTTAGCTATTATGTTTAATGACAAATTCAGATTACTCTCCAGTCCCCTAAAAGTCTCCCAACTAAAATATGTCCAGTCCTATGACCACCGAGACAGGATATCAGATAAAAAAGCGGTCAAAATCACCACGCACGAACACATAAAATTTTATTTGCCACACCACAACTTGTTACCATGGTGGGTCAGGGTGTGGGTGACCCTTCTAATGACCTTTTTTAGCCACCCCTATGGATCTACCGCGTTTACCATTAAATTATTCACCCATAGGTCCATGTAATCTCAGCCAATTAACTTTTGGGACCGGGAGATGGAAGAGAAATGTAGACAAGTGTCAAGACGACTAATGTGACGACAAAAACTACCCTTGTCAAACCACGCCTACCTTCCGGGGTGGATTGGAACCAGAGACTTGAGGACAAAGGGTGTACGTACTCGCACTACGGATAGGTCTTTTTACTCGGATCACTACACCGTTGGGCAAGATAATACTGCACCCATGAGGTTACCTTGCCAAACAAGGGAAAAGGGGGAGTGGGTTAATAATTTGGAAAAAACAAGCATCATGCTTGTCATCGAACCATGTGGGAAAAACAAAAATGATTTAAGCAGTTACTTTCAATGGGATACAAGAGGAACAAAGGGTTGTGTATCAACCGGCGCCCTTAGTAGAAATGCCCGTGGGTGTAAAAGCCGTTTTAAGTAGAATGTATTCTACTTCAACTTAAGAGAACAAAAAAGGCAAGAGATTTAGTGAAAGTTGATTACAAGTGTAATAGAAGGATAAGAAGGTAGAAAAACCTTAAAATCGAGCGCTTCAAAGACGCCAAGGATGGAAACCACATGATCGTCGATGACTCACCTGCGGGCACTTACACAAAGGCAGACAGAGCTGGGACAAATAAGCACCGAACCAATTGAAAACACTTTACGCTGTCACAAGGACAGCAGTAAATCGAAATTATCTGCCCATTTACCTACGATTATGCGACAAACAATAGACAAAGCTGGTTTCTGAATAAGTTCTTTGATGAAACTAAATGTCTCATTCAGTGATGACACTTTCTGTGCGAAGTGGACGAATAGCGATCAAATCAAATCAGGACTTCTGGATTTCTACAGCTAGAAA